TCTTGGGCAGTGCTGACTATAATGCATCCCTCTGTCTTACTCTATGTACGTCTTCAACATTTTGAAAGGATCTGCCGCTCCTTACCTAAAAAAAAAATAAAAAATAAAAGTAGCAGCCACCTGTAGAAGCAGGTGCAATCAGCCATACGGACAATCACTTGTGTTCTCTATCATTCTCCGGAGCAGTCGTCACTTGCACAGTGTGTGTGCTACTCTAGTCACACTAATCCATGCCTCGCTTCTGCACTTGGTCTCTGGCACAATGTAGCATGTTTGTTTGCTCAAGATAAGCCTTAGGATGGAGGCAAGCCAGGTACATAGGCAGATAGAAAGCCAGGTAAACAGGCAGATAGAAAGCTGATATGGGGGGAAAGTGTGGTATGGAGTCTTCAAAAAATGCTTCATTTTCAAACTCTTAAATTTGATGGATATCAAATTTGATCCTTGATCCTGTCAAGGATCCTTTCTACTAAGACATCCTGCAGGAACCAAACCAATGACTTACGAGGGAATAGACATGTTAGACTGCCATTCATGGAAGAGTCTTTTTTTTTTTTATTCCAAACTTTCTGTTCTCTGTTGCAACAGACTATTTTTTAAAGATTTTTAAAATGTATTTGGGGGGGAAGGGACAAAGGGAGAGAGAGAATCTTAAGCAGGCTCCCCACTGGAGCCTGACTGGGGAGCATGGCGCCTGACTGGGGACTAGATCCCACAACCCTGAGATTATGACCTGAGCAGAAACCAAGAGCCCAGGGCTTAACCCACTACACACTCAGGTGCCCCTGTTGCAACAAACTATTAAAACCAGAATAGAGGGATGCCTAGGTGGCTCAGCAGTAAGTGTCTGCCTTTGGCCCAGGGTGTGATCCTGGGGTCCTGGGATTGAGTCCCATATAAGGCTCCCTGCACGGAGCCTGCTTCACCCTCTGCCTGTCTCTGCTTCTCTCTGTGTGTGTGTGTCTCTCATGAATAAATAAATAAAATCTTTAAAAAAATAAAGGAAACCATAACAGAGTTACAGTTAGAAGCAGTCTAATATAAAAAAGTAAGAACTGGCTATACTTACACACACATACACACACGCACAGGCTTTTTCCAACATAACCCTAAGTTATAACAATTGGTAAAGAAAAAATAAAGCAAGTGCATACTACAGCAATTCATATCAGATATTGCTATTTTATAGCAGTAAGATGAGGGAATATGTTGCTAACTATCCCAACTATGACATGATGGATTTTTCTCACTATAATTATCTCTCAGAAAAGAGGGGCTGCCTTATTTCCAAGTCTTGTAAATCTTGTATTACAAGTTTTTTTTTCAACAGTATCCTAAGATGCATTAGCTTGAAATACCCTGAATCAATTCTGCTTTTAGATGTTCTATAAAGGGTAACTTATGGAATCACTGAAAAAGAAGGCAAAGACATTTCATATAGATTTTGTTTTTGTGCCTGAGGATTTGACCTCACAATTGTAGATGTCACTGTAAACATAATTCTCAAAGCTCTGCTTAAAAAGCATTACCATAAGTCGTTGCATAGTGGAAATTATTATTATACTCCTGCAGGAGTATAATGAATGAACAACAACAAAAAATGTTCTGCTGTCATAAAAATTCATAGTTGTTGTTTGGGACAAATTTCTCACTGATAGTATCCTACACTTTGAAAAGTGCTGCTAAGCAAGATTATTTCCTTAAATGCCAGGATGGAAAACCAATTATCTCTAAGTGAATATATGTTTTTATATTGGTTTAAATATGTGCATATAACTCAAATCAATAAATTAAATATATAACTATATATTTAATTGTCCTATGAATATCTCTAAATGACAGTGTCCCCCAAAACATTTTCTCTTGCTTTACATCATTGGGAAAGTGAGAGATTTCCATAAAATTGATGTCACCTTATGTTTGGGTATGTTATATTTAAATATATATTTACAAACACTTGTAATCAATTAATACTAAAAGCAAAAAGAGGTTGTGAAATCTCTATGTGTGACTCTTATGTATATTTTTTTAACTAATGTGACTTCATTCTTTTTTCTTAAAAATAGATTCATCTATTTTAGAGATACAGCAAGAGTTCAACGGAGCAGACAGAGGAAGAGGGAGAGATAGAACCTCAAGCCGACTCCCGGCTGAGCTTGGATCCAGGCAGGGCTCCATCAGAGGACCTTGTGGTCATGACTGGAGTCAAAATCAAGAGTAGGAAGCACAAAGGACTAAGTCACTCAGGTGCCCCAGTGTGACTTCATTCTTTAGAAAGTAACAGAGATCACTTTATCAAAGGTAGTCTTTAAGCTTCAAGCTAGTTTATGTGAGTTATATTTATAAAATTTTAATTAATTCATAAAATCAAATTTTTATTCTTGAATAATGTCCTTTCCTTTCAAAAAGCCTTAAAATATCACATTAGATATTTCTTATATTTTTCAAATGCAAAGAGATATTTTATAGTCTCAGAAAATATGTTTAAAAGAGTCCTTAATCGAAACATTAAATAATTAATATTAATAGGGATTAAAATTGCAGTAATACTGCCATAGTGAGTATTTAGCAGATGAACATTTCAAAATTCATTTTCAGACTCTTTAAAATATTCTTAAAGTGGGTCGCCTCAGTGGCTCAGTGGTTGAGCATCTGCCTTCCGCTCAGGGCATGATCCTGGGGTCCCAGGATCAAATCCCACATCGGGCTCCGCTCATGGAGCCTGCTTCTCCCTCTACATGTGTCTCTGCCTCTCTTTGTGTCTCTCATGAATAAATAAATAAAAATAAAATAAAATAAAGTACCAATAAAAAAGATCTCTAGGACTAGAAGTCCATGTTAAACACGAATGATTACACATCAAACTCTCTAATCAAAACATAAATATGGAGTCACCATATTGGCTTTAAGTCTGGCCAATATTTGAGTCACGATGTTTAAATCACAATATTAACTTCAAATCTCACCTAACTGTGGGACCTTTAATCCCATCCTCCCATATGCTTCTATGAATATGTGGCCATTAGTGAACCCTGTTGCATTTGTCTTTCCAATGGCAGAATAAAACAATAAATAAAAGCTCTTTCTAAGTAATAAAATTCTACAGAAATGCTAGCCTGACCCTCTGTAGTACTTAACTTTACATATCAACTAATTAATTAGGTCAGTACCTCAATATTCACTCAAATGCCAGTCTGTATGTTGCTGTGATGTATATTTAGATGATATTAATTTAAGTCAGTACACTCCGAGAAAAGCTAATTACTCTGATGTGGCTTTGTTCAATCAGTTAAAGCATTAAGAGAAAATATTTGTGATTCCTGGAAGAAAGGATTTTGTCTCAGACTGCCTTCAGACTTGAGGGGCATTATTGACTTTTCCCCAGGTTTCCAGTCTGCTGGCCTGTCCTGCATATTTCAGACCTGCTAGCCTCCTCCATCATCTGAGCCAGTTTCTTCTTTTCTTTTAAAAAGATTTTATTTATTTATTCACGAGAGACACAGAGAGAGGCAGAGACATAGGCAGAGGGAGAAGCAGGCTCCATGCAGAAGCCCGATGTGGGACTCGATCCCCGAACTCCAGGATCACACCCTGAGCCAAAGGCAGATGCTCAACCACTGAGCCACCCAGGTGTCCCTTAAGCCAGTTTCTTAAAATCTCTCTTTCCTTCCTTCCTTTTCTCTTTCTTTCTCTCCCCCTTTCTCTCTGCAGATATTTATCAACTATACATCTATTTATCTACTAAGATAGAGAATACTTGTCCCCTACCAATGTACTCTAAAATATATTTTGTTCATGTGTTCATTGTCCTCTACTAAACTATATGTCCTATGAGAGCAGGGATTTTATGTTTGTTCTCCAACTCTACCACCTTTTCTGAAGGAAACCTCAAAAATCATTTGCTGAATTAATACATTAGATCTTTCATTATATATTAAAGTTTAAAATCAATTTAAAAATTTCATTTTAAATCTAGAGTACAACAAAGGGAAAACTTCAGCAAGGTAAAATATATAGTGAATTCCTATTTTTAGGGCAAATGGGCACATTTATTGGACTAATTAATTTAGCTACATTTTAATCATTAAAATGGAACTGATTTCAAATTATCTTAGTGTTATCCACACAGATTCATAAGAAATCCAGATATTAAGACCACATTGAATATCTAATTTATAAATAGCTATTTATATTCTATATAATTTAAATTTATCTAAAGCAACAGCTCCGTATTTTTATTATAGTTCATGAACTCATTTTTCCTCCCAATGCTTATAATAATAAGTGAAGGCTTGGAAATTCAGTGTATACTTTTAATTGTTTGCTTGAATTATGTATGAATTTCATTACTCTCTAAATTTTCTAAAGAAAATTTTAATCAAAATCTATCATTCAATAGGGACCCCAGTTAATTAATGAAGTCTAACTCACCTTGAAGTAAACACACCTTTTTCTTTTCTTTTCTTTTCTTTTATTTTTCTTTTTAAACACACCTTTTTAAATCTAGTTATTTACTTCCAAACATGGAGCTATTTAAAATTACTATGGGAATCATTTCTACAGTTCTTACCTTCAAGCACAATCATAAGAATAAAATCACAAAACTTTAAAAAATCATATAGCATCTTCTAAATATATTAAGCTAAGGTTAATAAAAAGATCATATCACCTGTAGTGAGGAAAAAGTAGTTAACCTATACACAAGGCAATTACCAGAATGAAGGAATACAATATCTAGAGAAGCAATAATGGTTAAGAGAAGGCATAAAATGATTTTTGAAACAGAATTGAAACTGTTTATTTTATTAAAAAGTTGACACAGGTTATCTTTAGTGTTTATGACTTGCAAACTAAAGTATTTAATATTTAACATGTTTAAATACAAGCAGCAGCAGTTTGGTAATCAAAACGAATAATTTGAATCATCTCAGAAAAATAAATTCATTATAATTAGGATATTTCTGAATATGATTAAAACATTTAAAAGAAAATGTATTCACCTTTCTTGTCATCAAAGTACAGAGTCTGTTGAGCTGGATTTGACCACTGGAGGGAGGTGTTATCATTTTGATCAACCCTGCAGGTCAAAATTGCAGTTCCACCTTCAACAACCGTTACATTCTGTGTTAGTGGAAATTGCCCTTGGCTGCCTAAAAGGGGATTAAAGAAAATGTTGATTAAATGAAAGTTATAAAATGATTAACTTCCCAAGAGCTACATCGGACTGAACTTCTCACTCAAAAAAAGAAAAAATTAAACCAACCATACAACAACTAAACTATATATCACAAAAAGACAGAAAAAATAATTGAAAATCCTTAATCAGGGGACCACAGTTGTGCATACCATTAAGACTCCTTCATACTCCCTTATGTGTTCTAGAAAACCTTCTTTGTCTCCTAGCCATACACAAAGATTTATATTCAAATAGTAGCATGATTATCTAATGATAATTTCCTTTGGCCTTGCATTAATTATATAGGGTGGATCTAGACATCTTTGAAAATGAGGCACTGGAATAATTTAGGCTGAACTGAACTCACTAAAGCAACAGAGGAAACCACATGAAATAGTTCTCTGGTAGCTGATATAATCCTGAATAAAGTCTATGAAATATGGATACTAGAACTTTAGATTCAATTTCTGATAAAAGAAATAAAAAAATAATCCTATTATACCAGAGCTTCTTGTAGATGTAGCTGTTTTTTAGAACACGAAATATGTTGGAGGAAACAATGTAAGTATTTTTCAAAAAGTGTCCTTCTTGTAAAATATCTATCAAAATCTTAAGGCGATTAGCCTAGGAGATAGAGACAATATTCTCCTTTGTTCCTTTCTCTAGTTTCTTGATTTTCCCCAATGAACATATATTTCTTTTGTAATGAAGAAAAAAACATATTTAAATGACCCTTGTCAAATTGGATATCATTAGAATATAATCAAGTATTCTATCTTCCTAAGGTAGTAATTTATTAAAATGATTCATATAATAACTTTACTTAATATGAACTCTTCTAATATTTAAAACAAAATTCATGCACATGGAAACATAATACATAAGTTTCACTTCAGCGAGATGAACTTTGCCAAGTCTGGTAACAATCATCAACATGGGTAAAAAAATGACTTTCCAGAGCCAGGTTAAAACACTATTATGTGAGCAAGGTAGTTCATTAAGTCAAGGATAATTTACACATGCAAGAACATTACAATGACTTAATCGAACCCGTGAAATATATTTCCCTTTTCTTCTTTAGTTTTGTAATGATTCTATCATTACTACAAGCACCACTTGAGATTATGCTGGAGCTATTGGCATAAAGGATCTTATTACCAAGAAGCCTGTTGATTGGCACCATAAGAGACAGAAGAGCCTGAAGGGGAAAATATCTTTCCAGACCTAACTGACACAAGCACAGAAGTTCATGACCATGTTATATAATTAAGCCTATCAAGTATAAAATCTGATATCAGTAACTTTGTCTTCTCAATGCCAACCTCTTAGAGTCACTATGGCAACTCCCCAGGATATCTCCCTGTAATCTTTAGGGTGGAGTTTTTAAATTGAGGTTAGGAGATGTCTGGAATAAATTCTTTGATAGTTGACTTAAAAGTCAACAGGAGCCAGAGTGAGATGTGTTTTGCCTTCAGCTCAGAGGTGACCTCTAGCAGGGAAACGTGGAGAACTATCAATCTTGTGAAATGAGGTGAGGCGAAAAACCACATAAGGAAAACATGAGCTGAAACGGAAAGAAGGAATAATTACCAGAGATACCAAATTAGCAGTTCATAAATATGAAGCTCAGAATGATTTTAAGATATTTTGCTAAGATTCTCAAGTATTAATGTAGCACATAAACTCAACAATCTGAGGGAGGAGGGATTCTTTAAGTAATAAAAAGCACACAGCTGCTAATAAGAATATACAGTTCCTCTCAGGTGACAATTTGACTATCAACTGGTACATAAATAATATTGTCTGCTTCTTTAAAGATGTGGAAAAAGAGCAGTGATGCTTGCAACAATTTCATCCACTACATTTGCAAAATAATTTTCAAAACATCCCCATAAGAAAATATTATCCTTCTCATTTCACAGATGGGTAAACTGACACTGGGAGGTTAAGTGATTTTCCATGGTGAAACAAAGTCAATGAACCATTTGGAATTTGTTCTGAAAGTTTAGTATTTTACTCTTATTCTCCCACAAAGGCTGCTGGGTCATGGTAACTTGATCACTATTGGCTTACGTGTGAATTAGATAATAAAAAATAAATAAGTAAACATTTTAACAATGGAATTTTCAACTGCATACCTAGCTGAACTATGTCCTCATAAATTTTGTAATAACATTAAAATCGAGTAAGAGAGGATGCCGATATTAACTGCTCTGAAATATCCTATCTTATTCAGAGCTTACTTTTGACACTTATTTTAATCTTTCCTTACTCGCCTATAGGGTCTGCTAGGGTCTTCTACATGCCCAGTACTTTCTATACTCTTGCACATCCATGCCTTCTCCTTTCAGGTAGGAGATTAGGACAACTTCCCTCCATCTTCTCCCCACATGGATTCTGACTTTAAAGTATAATGACTTCAGTTCCCCGCAGTCAAATAATTTAGTTTTCCCCAATAGAGAACAAACTCACGTGGAGAATCTCCTAATCTTAAATACCCTTAGGATAGGTAGTTTCCAAAATCAATTCAAAAGCCAGTTTTGTAAACAGTCAAACTTCTTCTCAAGGTTTAAATTGCCTTTTACTCTGCTTATAACCTGGAGAGAGAGCATCAGGGTAACTGCCACTTTTGTCTTTTAACTCTTTGTGGCTCAAGGTTCTCATTTAATTCAATTTCAGAGAGTCTTTCCAAAGAAGTTACTACTTTTCCCAATTAAGGATTGGGAATTAAACATCCTGAATTAAACAGTTAAGCATCCCAAATTAAGGGTTCATTTTCAAGGCATTCATCAAAGAAATATTCCTACTACATGCTTTGCCTTGGATGAATCAACATCTTAAAGATGCATTGAGGAAGAGAAATTTTGCCAAGGAGACTGCAGAGTTCAGAAACTCTGCGAAAGGGTGTGAGGCAGAGAAGAAGGCAGTCTAGGTGTGGTATATAACTCTTTCTTTGTTCCCCACATCTATAAGGATTTCTGAAATGCATTGGTCCTAGCATTTGAGGCTTTACTTTAAAATATTCCTTACTCTGGCTAAGCTCAGCACCCTCCTAGATTTCAGAGGAGTTATTCTTAACAAACAAGTTTCTGATCAGATTGAAAGGAAACAAAACTTCCAATTTGGAGTCGTACAGCTGGCTATTTTTCCAGGCAGCCTGTGTCCTTCGTTTTCCTCCTTCCCTCCTTGTGTTATCTTCTCTTTTATTATTTGCAAAGATACCAGTCTTCTTGAGTTGCTTCTAATCTAATTAAAGGGCACGTGATGAGATCATCTTACTTATCTTTGAGTCAGCTACACTGTTTAACATTCTGTATTGTGAGTTGGAGTTTCCAGTGGGGGCTCATTGTCCAAAATGGAAGCATCTTCTTAGAGCAGTGGCTGGCATTGCAGGGGAACTTGTGACAGTAGAATGACCAGAATAACTCAAGTCTTCTGCATTTGTTCAGGGTCAAAAGAGAGGGGCAGAAGGAGGGACTAATTCCTTGCCAAGAAAAAAATATGAAAAATGTAAATCATAAAATCCTTATTAGTATATCGTCTTAAGACATTTTTTTAAAAAGTTCTGGTTGAAAATCATGAGGAGTATACATAAGATACAACAGATATAATGTAGAACAGACAGATCTAATACCATTGTCAGCCCCCGAAATGGGGCATAAAAAGACAGACTGTGCCAAATTTATGCTCTAGAAGGAGAAAAACATAAAAGATAGTGCCCTTCCTGGGTACCTCATATTACGAGATACTAACATATCTCATCTTCCACAATCACTAGGCCAACGGAAAATATGAGACAGATACAGCTAAACTATCTGAGCATTCATAATATTCAAGGCACTATTCTAAGAGCATTTCTTGTTTTTCAGTGATTTACTTTTCATGCCAACCTTGTCATCATCTCTACCTTGAAGATGAGGGAACTGATGCAAAGAGAGTTTAAATAATTTGCCCCCAGTCCCACAGCTAGAAAGTGCCACACCAGGTTCTGAACTCTCATATTCTGTGTCCTGACCTCACATGCTTAACCAAAAAACTGCTTGGAAAAGAAAGTGAACTTAATTCTGGCTGAGTGACTGTTACGAAATAAGCATAGAGTCTGGAGTCAAACATTTCAAAGATGTATTTAAACCTTTAATATCTATTTTTAATAAGTGAAGGAACACTTGAAATTCCTGCAAAAGCTGTGATGTGCTAACTGGCCCCTACCAGCTCATGACAGTCCATTGTCATGAACTCTCCTCACTTCACACTCAACAAAATTCCCTTGTAGATTGAAAGAGACCACAGTTGAGAGTCTTTTCACAATGGAGCTTGACAAACAGTTCAAGCCAGTGTTTTCTTCTCACAGAGGCAGTTGTTAAACATATGTATAGCACACCACTGGAAAAGCCACCTCTGATGCCTCTTGTTGGGGCTGTTACATGCATATTTAGCCTAAGTAAAAATTTTTTTTTTCTGAAAACTAATGAACTCTTGCCTATGCAATATAGTTCTGTTTCTGAAGGTTTTTTTTCCTTCATATTTTGAGTCTCCTCAGTTTCTTTCTTCTTTTTCTTCAAATCATTTTCTAAGAGAAAATGATTTTCCCTCCTGCTCACCATTCTTCCAATGATCTCTCTCTCTCTCTTTTTTTTTTTTTTACCTACTCTGTTGAACTGATAGTTTTATTAGGCTGCCAGGTTTATTTCTAACTAGCATCAGGGATTGAAAACCATTTATGTGAGTTTCGGTAGTTATAAGGAAACAATTTGCTAATTCATTGCTCTGAAAGACACTTTAGTGAAGAGCAATTATTCTGCAATAGTCTGCAAAGATGGCTTTCCTGTCCCTGTCTTTAAAGAGCAGACAGAGAAGCTGCCATTATTCCTTCAATGTTTCTATTTCTACATACTTCAGGAAAAATGGTACAAACCTTGTCTAGATCAGGAAATTCCAAATTCAAAATCAAGTGAACAGAGTCTTGACTCCTGCTGACCTGTCAGTTGGGATCTGCTCTTGCTTCACACACTTCAAGCACACTTTCACTGGCTACCAAGAGCCCAGCACACTGCCCCTCGGTACATAAAGAAGCAATTCAAAGCTCATGGCCACCTCGACCTCGCTGACAGGCTGTGATGTGCCACTACCGTAGAGAAACAAGCCAAGCAACAGAGAGATCTTTGAAGACAGCAGTATCATTGAAAGCGAGCAGACAGGCAAAAACGCATATCTGAATGCTGATCCCAAAACATGGCTCTGCTTCCCAAAACGGCATCATTAAAGCCTTACTATCTCCTGAATGGGTGATGAGGGAAGGCAATGGTTCCTCCATCTCTCTTCCTGCACTAAAGCTGAGATGTGGCCCACAACAGTGGATCAGCGCACACTGTGCATGAGTGCTCATGTACTAAGGGCAGTGATCCCTGGAGATAGATCTAGACAGACAGGCAGAGGTTGAGTCTTTGCACATCTGAGAGAGAGGGAGTTACAGTCAGTGGTTTTTCAGGATAAATGATCAACTTTTGTGGGACATTTAACACAACCCAGAGCCCTCATTATTTTTTTCCCTGAAAATGAGTACCCCCCCCTTTTTTTTGAGTACAACTTTCTCAAAGGAAGAACTGGATTTAAAACAACAGTGAAGGGAAAAATAATATTTTCATTTGTTTTATCTTGTTTAGATGTGAAGAGAATTGAAAAATAATATTTTCATTTGTTTTATCTTGTTTAGATGTGAAGAGTATTTTACAATTTTTCAGTTAAAAAAAGCATAAACTTCTCATGAGATAAACAGTGCTATATCTTTTGATTCTTCCTGTGGGAATAAATTTATACTTAGCAAAAACTGTCAACTAAGTCTGCAAAATTATTTAATTCAACAGGGTTATTGGCATCTGAATCAAATGGTATACATAATGCTTTGGTTTGTTTTGAAATATTTTTGTGCCCTGGCAAGAATCCCCATATTAAATGCAAAATACTGGTCTCATTAAGGTTCTGATATTTTAGTTATGAAAAGCACAGGTGCCAAATGGATCAGTATTGTTAAAGGTTCTAAAATATAGGAAATGACGGAAATAGGCAATTCATTTCTAAATGAAATACAAAAGTAGCTTACTATTCTTTAGGTCTTCCCCTCAACTCTTCTCAGCTTTGTGTTTCTCTTCCTCTACCCTCCCTTTCACTTGTTCCATCAACAGGTTTGGGATTTATACAAAGAATCTGAATCTTAGAAAGTTCAAGATCATTCTTCTTAGTTAGAGTCTAAAAATATATCTAAATGCACACACAGCATGCTATTACTTCCACTAAATTACCGAAGGCATTCTAAACAAATAACCTTCTAATGCGAAAGTTGTGGCTCAGTAGTTGTGTGTACTGAAACACATATTGCATACTAAAGCCTATTGGATTATTCAAAAAGCACAAATTCTATTAATGCAAGCTTAAAATTCTCAAGAGAAGTGCAATAAATGCTCTATCATGTGAGAAAGGAAATTGGAGGAAAAATGAAGCCTGATAACTAAGTGAAAATGTTTCCACTTTTGGAATATCCCTCTGTTCTTTCAAATATTTAGAGTTCTCTAGTAATTTTGCTGTGATTTCATTCTAGCTTTTAGATTTGTCTGAAAAACTTTAAGTACTCCATTTTCCTAGGCTACCACATATAATTTATTTTTCTTTGACTCTATCTTTTCAGGATTCAGCTTGTCTTATGGAGTATAACACCTGGTATCCACCTTCTGTGCTACCCCTCTGCCCAGCCACTATGGAGCATGGCCATCAGTCTGGTGCTGCTTGCCAGTTTCCATAGAGACAGGAAGCACTTTGGAGAGCCATGTTCCATTGCAACTGCCAGACCAAGGCAGGGAAGAAATAAAGCTGGCGGGCAGTGGGTCTTGCAAGGCCAGGAAGGTTGGAAGGGCTTTCTCCTCCTGATATCAGGGCATAGCAGTGCCAAATTGGCAGCTTCAGCAGTTACAATCCCATAGACCAGATCCTGGTGTTCACTAAGGCCATTGTGAGCGACCCATTCTGCTCCCAACTCCGGGAGCAGAATCTCTGTGTATTCAAATGTTGGCCCAGGGCCTTTGTTGGCTTCTGATCCATGACAAAAGGCTCTTTCAGATTTACAGTGGCTCCCACAGCTCCAGACCCAAGATTCTTCTGTAGAAATTTCACCTCTCTTTCCCTTCTCCAGAATGTGATAATAGGTTTTCCTGGACATTCATATCAGACCAGGAAACCAATGGGATTACCATTGGGTTGTACCCAACTAACCTACAGAGTGACTGTGAGAAGGCGACCCACTTAACTATGTATCATTGTATCAAAACTAGTTACCATTTGCTGCATCTATGATTGGATTTATAATTAGAATCAATTCTTGATTATCAGGATCAGAGCTGGCCCTAAAGAAATTTGTAATGTAGGTGAAATATAGCATCAGTGCCTTCCCATATATTTCAAAAATGTTTTTGTGTGATTGTATACCTCAGCTTTCTGTACTATAAATATTCCCAGCAGTTTTTCTTTCTACCTAAAGTAGATTTCTTTAATTTCACCATTAACTTTATATTACTCAACCATATCACAAAATTTTTATTTTCCTTAATTTATAAAATTCTAAATTTCAGAGAATTATTTATAAAATCCTAGGAAATGTGGTTTTATGCTGGCTTTATAGTCTTGCTTAGTGGTTGTATTGCCTTAGTATGTTTTAAAACATTATCTGATTTTTAAAAGAACGCCAAATATTTTAAAAACATATTTGTGTGACATCAGTTGTTTTCATTCTTTGCTTATGCCTATTATTCTGTGAAAATGCATAATAAACAAAATATATTAAAATATCATGGATTCAGACTAAATATAAATATATTTAGCTTTGCAGCTGAAATAGATTTTTGAAATAAAAATATTAGAATATATTTAATTTCATTAATTTATCTATATTCATTTTATTCTCTAAAAAGTTTAGAGTCTTCTCAAGAATTCAAACAATATTGAATGAGTGTCTATAATTTTTAAGAAAAAAATGAACTTGATTAATTATTCACATTACTCATAAAGCTGTTTTTCTTCCTTTCACATAGATCTTCAAGTATTGTGATGTAAAAAATAAAAAGCAAAAGAAATAATTTTAAAATGAAAAAGGAAACTATGTCTTACAAAGCATTCTAAAAGAATAAGAGAATTTAAAAATTATTTTTATAACCAGAAAAGGTAACATGTGATTATCATGTGTGTATAAATTCATTTTATCTTTCTAGAATAGTGCTTTCAGGGTGAATGAGCAAGACCTAAATAGAACTGACTAGCTTTACTTGCTAACTGATGAACATTTGAGAGGCAGCCTTCCAGAGAAAAGAAATTTATGACCACAATCACAGTCTGGTTCACAGTGAAGCTCAATCACGTAACTAAATTCTAAATTGAGATGTCAACCTGGAGGAAATATTCTGGAAAGGAACACACAGATGGTAGGACTCTTCTGAAGACAGGGTGAGGAATATAGTGCTAAATGTACAATAATCAATCTTCTGGAAGTAAAAAAAAATGCACTGAGTGGGACATAACTTTTAAATTTGAATTTCCTGGAAAAACTTCAACCTGAGTCTAAAAAGGGGGAAAAGTGCTCACTTCAGCAGCACACATACTAAAATTAGAGTGATACAGAGATTAGCATGGCCCCTGCACAAGTATGACACATAACAAGGAGGAAAATGATCCCTATATTTTTCATGTTACCCGGTAGGTCTTAGAATGTCCATATATTTAAAGGAAACAACAAAATTGAATTATAATACACTTTAGAATATTTAGTAACCCAAGGAAATTTAAAATTCCTAATAACATTTTTAGGAACAAATTAAATGGAAAGAATTCAAAAAAATAAAGCAAGCATTATTAATTCCCTACTTCAAATATACAATTGCTTAAAAATTACAAAAAGCAGCTAGTAAAATAAGGTTAACATAGTAAGGAAAGCTATAAATTTAGAAGACATTAGGACTTTAGTCTGGTTTTTATGCTGATATTCCCTGATTCCAAATGAAAAAATATATATACCAAGTCAAATTAATTATTGCCTAATATATTGTTGCAAGTTAGTGATTTAACTTAGTTGTAGGAGATATATTTTGATAACAACTTTCTTTTGGATTGTGCCACATATTTGCATACTCAGCAAGCATAAAATTATTTGAGTACTAGCCAAGTTGTCTATACATTAATATTCTTTTCATATTTTATTCTCTGCAAAAAATTTAAATAATTGCATTGGAACACCAAGTAGAGATGTTCATGTAAAAAAGCAACAGATGTCTACTTGAATTATAACTCCTTGAATTAAGGGATGTAATAAGAAATTTTGAGATGGCATAGATACAAGGTACATCTAAGAAAAAATACAGTATCAAACATATCATCCAATAATGTGCAGTTTATAGGCATAGGAACTATACACATCAGTGTATACAATGTTAGGGCTCTCTGAAACCTATCTTCACACCTATAGTGAATTTTGACTATAAAATATACTTCATGACATTAATTTATTCAACAAGTACATTCTTTGTACCTAAAATGTGCTTCAAATGGTAGGTACTAGAGACACAACTGTGAACAGCTAGAAATGATGTAACGTTTTATCTTTAGAGTTTACCACCTAAAGATAAGCAGCAAAACAAGAAAACACATTTTTGCACAGGAAAGGCCTGACTAGGAAGGTGGTGACATTTCTGCTGAAACCAAAATGAGGAGAGAGACCCAGCCATTTAAAAATTGCCAAGGACACTTATGTGGGAGAGAGGTAGTCATTGTTGGAGAAAATAAGTTAGCCGTTATCAAAGATCCTAAGCAAGAGGCAGGAAAGAGGTTGACTATTCAAAGAATTGAAAACAAAACAAAAACCACTGAGTCTAATGCATGAAAAGCAACAGACTAATGGTCCAATACAGGGTAAAAAGAACATGAAGGCCAAATCATGCAGGGCTTTTCCTGTCTTCATCAGGAGCTTGAATTTATTCTAACATGCAATGTCAAGCCATTGAAGGAAGTGAATCAGTGCTTTTTCTGGTAATCATTATTTCTGAATCAATGATTTGTAATCTTAGAAATGAATTGTGGTAAAAATAGTGTTTATAATCAAGAACTTTATTGAGAAAATATTTAAAACATTCATTAAATCATGGGATAATCTGTAAAGGTAACTAATCTTGGTATTTTTTAAGTTTCCACAGTGAATAATCTAGTAAATGGAGACCATCTTTCACTTGAGCTTCTACTAAAACATTGTTATCCATAGTTCCATATCCCCCCCGCCCACTCTTTGAGAGACAATTTATTCCTTACTTCCACTCCGAAATGCCATTGCTTTGGGAAGTGCCTTGTTATTAATAATGGAGAATTTCTGTTTTATTGCTTGTTTTAAAAGCTACAGTAGTATCTGGGAGAAAAGAAAGTATTGCTGGTAAGCTATCTATGGATGTACACATTATTTTTAAAACAGTGTTCTTTTTCGAAGAGATATTTCCCTGAATGGATAACAACACCATGCTTTCAAATAAATAATGAGTTCTCAAAGGACTGTAAAGTGAAGTAATAAAATATTTGAATTTATCTCCTGAATAAGAGTATATTTTATAAAGTTGATAAAACAATTCTTCCCTTTGATTAATATAACAGAAATGAGTGTTTTCTGTTATAATAACAGAATTTTTATGCCCAAGGAAACTATTAGCATAGTGAACCTGAGACAGGTAGAAAATTCTTGATAGCAGAGGCAGAAACATATTACTTTTCATTCTCTAACAGGCATATGTTATTGCTTTGGACATAGTGGGCATATATTTTTGAACACATGAACCTGTGTTCAAAATGATACCACCCAAATTATGTAAGTGTTGATCAATATGTGGTAACATATAAATCAACTTGGAATACTCCCTAAGGAGCAAGCTCCCTTTTGAAAAGAAAAATGTAATAACACAGTGGTTAATAGGATGTGTTTTTCACTGTTTGATCATTTCTGAATGCACAACGATTTCATTAATGTTGATTTCACCCATCTTGTCCATGTTTACATCCTTTGATGTTCAAGTCCTTTGTAGTGCCACATTAGATCTAGGGGAACATTGCCCTATGAGAGCAAGTGGAAACTGCTGTGGGAAAATATGAAAATGAAACTTGATACTTTGTACAGATATGTACAGATAAGTCAGCTCAAAGAATTATACTTCTGATGAGGCAGAAAAAGAATTAATATCACTTTCTCATATCCCTTCTTGGGGTTAGTACATTTTTAATCTGTTAATAGAAAATTATAATGAATTGGAATATTTCAAATGGAAATTATTAAAATTAAACTTCAAAAAATAAATCATGATGGAATTTAAAATATTTCAACTGATTACTTAAATTTTAAGAATGCATGTTCTGGAGAGATGGTTGCAAACTGATAACTGGAAAGAAATTATTGATAGCACAACCAGTGATCTCTTCACTACAATATTAGAAAGAAACAGTTAAGAGCTGGTTCTTGGTCTTTCCTTTAGTTTCAGGAAATCCTAAAAAGTTGACTCTTGATCGAATCATCTTTGCTTATTCAAGGAGTTCATAGGTGTATACTGGATCCAAAATAAATGAGAACTGGGGAGTAGGCTGTGTATTAGACTGAGCACCTACATTTCATTGTTGGGAATATTTGTTGAATAATAAATTAGGATTGATTAAGTGACATTGTACCAGAGAATGGGAACTGTCTTTCACAAGATATAATCTTGTGAAAGCTGCACACCTCCAAAGGGGTCGAAACTGAATAGACTCCAAGGGTGTCTGAGTGGCTCGGTTAGTTAAGTGTCTGCCTTCTGCTTGGGTCATGATCCCAGGTCCCTGGGATCAAGCCCCGCATAGAGCCCTGAACTGGGTTCCCTGCTCAGCAGGTAGCCTGCCTCTCACTCTCCCTTTGCAGCTTCCCCTCCTCATGCTCTCTACCTCTCAGTAAATAAAATCTTAAAGCAAAACAAACAAAAAAACCTGAATAGACTCCAGAGCTGAAGGCTTCTCTGAGGTGTGGTACCTAAATCAACTCTGTCTTATTTTGTATAAGGGTAACTGTGCACATTCAGAGACATTTCAGGGAGTCACAAAGCCTCTGCTAATTCTCAACATCCTTGTTGTATCACTTGTCTTGTGAACCTTTAGGTACATTTAATGTTGGATAAAGCCTGTTGTGTCTCATGGATATTATTATATACATGAAAACAAGAATTGTACTGCTGCTCTAGGAAGGTGGGCACTGCAACCATAATATCAGAGTAACAAAAAATATCATTTGTTCATATAGTCTTTCAGCTGAGATAATGCTTGTCCAGTAAAGATAGTCACATTATTCATGCTCAAAACTGTTTCTACTTATTCTGTTTTCTTTCCAGATCAGATTGAAACTAAATAGACTGCCATATTTCATGAATTCTACACATAATTTGTGCAAAAACTGATTTTCATTTCAAATTTCTAGTCTTATGTGCTTTGACAGATCTGAAACCAAAGATGTATGCTATGCTAGATAGATACAGATAGATAAATATATGTATTTTTCTCTAGATATAATATATAAATAAAATATATATTATGTGATGTATATTATAAGTAACAGCTAATATATCTCATAGCTTACATTTAAATATCCATTGGATGCTGTGTTTTGTAAAAATTTTAATAAATCCTTGGAAGGTACAGATTTTTCAAATTTAAGCCACTGATTAGGATAAGCCACAAACTCAGAGAGCTATTGTAAAAACAAAACAAGACAAAAGAAAACAAAAATTGCAAGTGTTTGGGGTATTGGCAGCAACATGGCAATATGTATACACTTCTGACAACTATTTTTGAAATAGCAAATGTGTGTGTGTTAAAAAAACAATAATTATGTTTAGTAATAATTCATTAAATTCATGTTGGAGATTATAATCCCAAATCTCTCTATTTAAATAATTGATCAGCTAATCTTAAAGGTACCTACAAAGATGACTATGAAAAAATGACATGATTTTTTGACAAAATTTTCTCACCAAGAACAATAATCAGCTCTTCACAATTAAGGGTCAAATTTCTGTAAGCAAAGTTCTAAATGCATGGAATCCACCATTACTCAAAATTTTCTAATGAATGATAAAATTTGATAAAAGCTGCTGTTTGTTACAATTTGAATTTCATTAGTACTAAACTCATATTTATAATGCCATGATAGTTACTTTGAAAATATATAATGCTTATTTAATGAGGGAATTTTGACATGTAATGTGCTTCCTTATTTTTTTTTTTTTGATTAAGCTTGTGTAGCCCCAGGGCACAGGAAATATCGACTCATATGGCAAGGTTGATAAGCATCAATTCTCCCTGCTGACTTGGGCCAGCATGCTGCTCATGAATCCAGCAGATGTTTCTACTATCTGGGCCAATGGAAACCTTATGGACCTTTTTTCCTTCATCTCCTCCCAGGAGCAAATGTTAACAGCACAAATTTGGATGCATGCCAAGTAGAAAGCAGAAGTGTTGGTGAGAAAATAGGGTACACTTTTATCCATAAATAGTGGTCATCATTGGTTTGAATTGAGTATTAAGCCATTAAAAATGGCTTATTTTTGTGCATTTGCTACTTCATTTAACCAAATCCCTGTAAACACTACTGTTTATAACATAACAGTACTTATCCAAACACATAGAGATAATCCTT